GAAAATAAAATGTCAATCATGAAAGAAACAATAGGTTTGATTATGTGACATGTATGATATTCAAAAAAATGTTTTAATATATAAATTATAATTACAAATATATTATTTGTAATAAATACTGCATTAATAAATTGAGGTGCAATATAGCTACAAAGACTTTTTAAAATTTTATATTTTTATATTTATGCTAACTTTATTTTATAATTATTTTTTGTAAAAGTAATTTTTTGTATTTAAAAAATAACAATACTTTTTTTTATTTCTTAAAGACATTCGCTAAGATAACGTGATGATGATGATAATAATGATGATGATGATAATAATAATAATAATAATAATAATAAATAATAATAATAATAATAATAATAATAATAATAATAATAATAATAATAATAATAATAATAATAATAATAATTTATAACAACAAGAATTTAAAATAAATATTTTTTTAAGTTTTTTTTACATTTTCCATTTTTTTGAAGTTTTTTCAGTTCCTTCCAATTTTTTCCAGTTCTTCCAGTTTTTTCGAGTTCCTTCCAGTTTCTTCCAGTTCTTCTAGTTCCTTCCAGTTTTTTCTAGTTTTTTCCAACATCTAACTCTTTTTTTTACAGTCCTAAAGAAGAGGCCTTAAGTATACAAGAAAAATCTTATCCCAAAAGACTCGAAGAACTTACCTTGGTGGGTTTCTGCCGTTCTCTTTTTGGATTCCGTAATGGAACGTAGCCATCATACTATCATAGTCGAAGAGGTGATATGGGTTGTATACTTCTTTCTTTTTGTTCGGAGGATTTTGATAATTTTGTGCTTTGCTTAGTTTTGGTCGAGGATGACCATCTTTCCACTTGTACCAATTTTTTGATTTCTTCTTTGCTCTATTTTTATTATTTTTCTGCAAAAATGAATTCGAACAAAGATACCCCTTTTCTTTAGGTTCTAACGGGTTAATTGAAGAGGCTTTTACAACCCATTTAGTAGAAATCACCCTAAATAGGACTAAAATATAGAGAAAAGTACCAAAATAGGACTTTCATGTTTTTTTTCTCGAAATAGGACTTTGCACTGTGGTAATGTGACTTTGCATTGTGGTAATATAACAGTGTACATGTGCACATTACTATACGTTTTTGGTAATGTATATGACCATGTTTGGTATTGTAAGTCCTATTTCGGGAATAAAAACATGGAAGTCCTATTTTGGTATATCTTCAATGTTTTAGTCCTACTTGGGTCTTTCTCCCCGCATTTAGATCTCTTCAAGACCGACACACTATCACCTATCTCAACAAAACGCTTAACTCAACAATTCACATAAGTATGACCAACACGCATACAATAATTACAACACTTAAACGTGTTACAATTCTCGTACGGATTACAACGGACGGGGAAAATGAATGGCCCCGGAAATAAAAATAAATAAAATTCTGAATTTATAATTTATTTAGAATATTACAAAATAAATAAAGTTGGAAAAATAAATTTCTATATCTCCGAACAACCTTGTTGTATGAGGACGTTAAGCACTGGACCGCGAGGACATTAAGCACTGGACAGAACGCATAACTGGACAGCGAAGTCTTTAAGCGCTGGACAGCAATTCAAGGACGTTATGCACAGGACTGCGAGGACATTATGCACTAGGCTGCGAGGACATTATGCACTAGGACATAATGCAGCGAGGTCTTTATGAACTAATCCTGCAAAGAAAACACCACGGAAGGATAGCGGAGTCGCCGGAGCTGTCCTTAAGGTAGTAGTGCCCGCCTACCGTACTGGAAAACGTGGGCACTCTCCTCTCAGGATAAAACCGCTATCGTGTGTGGAGATTGTACGGACTAACCACACACCAACGAACAAGAACAACGTAGGAACGTTGACGACCAAAAACTTTAAAGGGGATGGCCGGAAAATTTGGCCAGAAAAAACAAGAGCTCTCTCTAGAAAAAGAAATAAACAAGGTTTTCTCTCTTTCCCTTTCCTTTCTCACGTGAAGCACACAAGAAAATGGAGAGGAGCCCTTTGATTTTATAACTAAGGTGTTTAAAATGTGTAACTCCTACACCATTAACCCTTAGAATTAATCATTGCATTTGTGGCATACTAATGGTGTGTTAATGGTGATTAATTAGCCATTAACACGTCCGTTACGCTACGCTCCGTTTAAAATTTGTCCCGAATAATTGGAGATTAATGGCCAGTTAACTCCGTAAAAATGGACTAATTTTAAACAATACGTAAAATTAATAAAAGAAGATTGGTTCAGTAAAATTGCAAACATTGCAATCCTTACCATATTCTTTTATTAGCGGGTTAACTCTGAGAATCAATTTCTCATTCACCCTCTACCATTTTTGGCGTATAAATTGTCAAAACATTTATCTCATTTAAGAGAACACACGTCCATTAATTAACGGTTAAAACCGTTAGTGGACCTATTGACAAATATACCCAAGTTGGTCCATTTAATGCCTATTAAAAATGCCAAAAATCCCAACAAAACGTAGCATGCATTTGGTGTCTCAGCGGAATGGGATAAGTGCTCTTTGAAGACTTCGAAGAATCCTTAAAAGTTTTACTTATTTTTATTATAATTAGATCAGATTAGATGGGATCAGACCATACCAGATCAGATGAGATTAGACCACATCAGATCAGACCATAATAGATCAGATCAAACCAGATCAGATCAGATCACACCAGATCAGATCTTCAAAAAATCTGATCAAATTAGATCAGATCAGACCAGATCAAATCTTCAAGAAATCAGATCAAATCAGATCTTCAAAAAGAAACAAAGTCTATATTTTCTATGAAAAATATGTTAATTTAAAATTTTAAAAACATTGATTTAAATTTTAAAAAAAATTGGTTTGAAAAATAAAAAAAATAGAACTTTTCCCCCTATTTTTATCTTTTTTACTTTTTAATTTTTAATAATCAAAGTCGTTGCTCCATGTACCAATTCAATCTTCTGAGTGTTTCTTATTTTAAATCATTATTTTTAAAATTAATATTTTTTTTATAATTTTTCTCCATTAAAAGATGATTAATATAAATAAATACTCCGTACCACGTTATAATCGAGTCAATAGTACTAAGAAATTCGTCACTGCTTTTTTTAAAAAATCACATCAAATTTATCTATTGAAATTAAAGTTAAATACTTGATCAAGAGCGACATCACTCCGTCTCCAACCTTTTGGAGTTACTTAATAAGATTGAGATTTTGGAGTTACTTAATAACAAGAATTTATGTGTTTGGTGTATTGATTAAGCATGTACAGTGGGAGGCGGAGTAATGTCATAAAATTATGTGAATTGTTGGAAGTCCTTTGACATCGGCATTAAAAATTAGTGTTATTATATTAAAAGATTATTTGACACTAACTTTTAGTGTTAGTATGTTCTGAATTAATCTACACCGTTAAATTTTTATTTTAAACGCTTATACTTATTTCCAAACAAGGCCAGAATGACATTGTCATTTACAGACACATGAAGTATTCAATATGAGAATATTAACGTATAATACTGAATTTGTTGGAGTAGTGCTATAAACTTTTTGTGAAAAAAGATTCAACAAGTTGATTAATTAGTGAAATGAATGTGAACTAGAAAATGAGGGGTAGGGAGAAACCTTATTTTTTTTCTTTTGACAACTTTCTTAATTAATTGAAAAAGGACCAGTAGTACTGTACTGTGCATTATACACTCAATTAAAAAAATTGACAACACACCGCTCTTATACGGATGAAAACTTTTATTATTTAATTTCTGTGTTTTTGTTTATCATTTAAAATAAAATAATTTTGTTATCTCTTTTATTTAATAGTTTTTTATTTATTTTTAAATATGTGATTTACATTTTTTAGTTTTTATATCTAACCAATTTATAAATAAAATAGTATAAAAAGTAAAGACTAGAATACGTCTTATAAATAAACAGTAAAAAACTGGTAAAGGTCCGATATTTTTACGCAATATTTCCAAAAAGGAATTGTAGTACGCAACGTCTCAAATGTTTGCCGAACACATGTTACGGACTAGTTATTACGGGAGTAATTATTATCCGGTTTCTTTTTTCACTATTCCTGATACATACGGAGTAGTACTCCTTAATCCTTATGTCGATCTTATGCGGCAAGATTTTTTTGTCCATCTCCAATTAGAAGTTATGGGTTGACTTTCTCCTAGAAAAATGTAAAATTATTTGGTTAAGAAGGACAAGAGACAACAAGGATAATAATTTGTCTTATTAAATATTTACTACTCCGGGTATATCGCTAATTCGTGTTTTGCACGGTCAGTATTTTAAGATAGTGCATAGAAATAGTGTATTTGATGAGTTGTCATTTAAATGATTATTTTTTCATCCTAATTTTTCGAACACATACTCCCTCCGTCCCTAAATACATCTCACATTTCTATTATCGAGGTAAAATATCAAATTTTCAATTCATTTTACTTACATATTGGTATATAAATAAAAAATAAAATTTACATATTAAAAAACTACATGAAAAGTTCTTCAAAATAACAAGTGTCAGCAGTATTTTATTTTATCAAATAATCAATGAAAACGTAGAAATAAACGTGAAAAATTCAACTTGAGTCTCTTGCCGAGTAGGAAAATTCAACTTGAGTCTATACTCGATACAACTTCAGTACTAACAATTGTTATCTAATGAGATTTTAACACACTCAATATTTATCAAATAAATTCTCGTTGCCTTTCCTGGAGCAGAGGGATGCGAGAGTCGTGGATGTGATTGACATTTTTTTAAATGAAATTTTGACCCAAAGATCGGGTTTAAAACCATTTGCTCCAATACTAAATTGTAACACCATAACCCGTCCAAGTCCGCATCCACTTTCCGACTAAAGTATTAACTTGGTAATCGTAAAAATTTAAACCATTTCAAACACTTTTATTTATCACAATAATATTTTTCATAACATCAACAGTTCTACGGAGTTTTCAATATTGCGGAAGCCTAACCAATTGTAATCATAATTTATTTATGTTCTTCAATTCAAAACCATCACATCCATTCCGACAATCTAGCCTCCGTCTGCTTCTGGAATCACGTCACAGCATTCTCTCTATCAACCTGCGTGTAGAAAATAAAACATACTACACGCTCAGCGTTGAAGCTGAGTAAGCATATCTAATGCGTCGAACATCCATATAAATTGAATCTAAATTCATAATCAAATCATTTGATATCATGCACATAAGTTTCAATTCAGATATTCAATATCAATATTCAGTATTCATCATTCATAATTCAACATTCATATTCATATTCAACATTCATCAGTCATTCATATGATATTCACAATATTGAATTCAAGTTGTTTCACATTCATGATATTCACAATATTCAATTCAAGTCGTTTCACGATATATACAACATTCCACATTCAGTATTTTAACAGCAGTGCTCTTAAACTATTTTTATTCTAAGGCACTAATTTAACCAACCCTTAAACGAATTCTAGTTTAAGGTTTTTAAACTATATTCCAGTTTAAGGTACTCATAAACAACCCTTAAGCTAGGTCTATTTTAAGATAAAAATTTTCAAAAAGGGGTTTTCAAAATCTTAAACTTACCTTCGCTTAAGGTCAACCAAAAACAGAACAACGGAATGTTCACTGTCGGGTGGGTGGTACCCCCAAACAAGTAGGTACTCAAGTTTGGATCTTGGATCCCGTACGTATGTTTCAACCATGGCCACCGGGCATCATACCCGCAAGACCTAACTTAAATGGGTATATCTTAGAGTTCTTCTAGATACCCTTCAAAATCAACATCACTATGGGTATATCTTAGAGTTATTCTAGATACCCTTGAAATCAATATCAATTTACTAAAATGGTCATTTGGGCATATCTTAGAATTCTTCTAGATACCCTTCAAATCAACATTAATATGAGTATATCTTAGAGTTATTCTACATACCCCCAACAATACATATTATTTTCACAATCCTTAATATATTCATTATGATTTAATCATTCATAATTATCATTTTAATCAGAATATTCATCAAGGTTTAATTATCATAATCATCAATCAATAATCGTCTTCATAACCATCAATTAGTAATAATCATCACAATATTTAATAACAAATAGCGGCCTAGCTTCGAGTGTTAACACCCTAGCTTACCGTCATGCATCACGTAAGGTCCTTTTAGTTGTCAAAACATCATTTTATTCCAAAAAATCAACTTTATATTAATCATAATTGATTGGTATAAAAAATAGGATATAACATTTTCGGAAATATTTTTGGAGCAAAATTTCAGGGGATCGATCCAGTGCTCTGGATCGATCCAAGCTAGAGAAAACACACCCGGGGGATTGATCCAACCCCATGGATCGATCCATTTTCTGTGTTTTTCGATCACTGTTCATCTTCTTCTTTGTTCGGGTCCAAATTTGAAAATACCATTTTTAGTTACCAAACTTCAATTAAATTATATAGAAATGTTCTCCAAGGTTCATAGATCATTTTGGTATCATTAATTCATAGTTTTAACAATAATTTCAAGTTTGTGATTCTTGGTTCTTCAAGTATGTCAAACACAAAACTCAACCAAACGACCATTTATGAACGTAGAAACGATCTGTACGAACATTCTAGTCACTAGATATATCTACGGGCTTACCTCGAAGCTTAATGAAGGTTATAAAATTTTTCGAATGAAACTTCCGGCAACGATTACTCCCAACTCCGCCGACTTCACACCAAATTGACAGCATGCACAACTGTGTTAGACAAAAGTGCAACTCTAGTAAGAAAAGAAATATGATTACATTTGTTCACGTAAAATTTTAAGAAAATTATCACCTAAAAATAATCACATGTATTTTACACCCGAAATTTTTTTCACTTGATATGCATTTATTTTTAAAAAGAAAAAACAAATAGTTCTACCCAGAAAAATTGACATCATCCTCAAACTTTATAGTTCCAACGGCAACCGAGGGGCTTCTGCTCCTTCTTTCTTGAGTTGTTTCTTGTTCATATACTAGGTGTAGAATATAATATTGGTAATGTTGAGACAATAACTTACCTTGAGCTTTCTCCATTAATGGTGGAAGAAAGCTTAAGGAAGAAGAAGAGTCAATGGAAAGAAATTAGTGTGTGGGATGGGTATGATGGAAAGAGAATATTGATTATTTGAGTGGGGAAATCTTTGGATTATATGGGGGAATGAATGTGGAATTTGGGATAAAATCCTTGTTCTAGAAGAAATATTTATCTGTTTGATTTTAGGTTGTTTTCTAAGCGAAGTCCGATTTCAAAACCGATTGTGTATTTGAAGCTCAAAAAATAAATAGAATCCAACAATGTATTAAAAATATTTTTCCTAATATTTTTATTTTTTAGGCCACTAGAGCCTACACGGTCGAAATCGACTATTTACGTAGTTAATTCTTCTAGTCCGATTTTTTGTGGCATTACACAACCGTCTACATTCACTGGGAGAATGAGATAATTTTCAGTAAATTATGCTGTTTTACCCAGAGCTTCATGGGAGAAATTGTAGGTGCTACCATCAATTTTTCAAAATTGTGATCGTATTGTAAAGTTCATACATTGATAAAGAATATGAGATTGCATTCATCTACGTCCTCTTGCGCACATAGAGACGCACAAGCCTTCCCTAATTAGATAATCAAAATTGAAGATGAAAAACTTGGATAAGTGATTGATGGAAGAGTTGATCTTGAAATTCTGCCTAAATTCCTTATTTTAGACGCAAGTTATCCTCTCAAAAAAATATAGTGGACTTCACTTATCCAAATTGATTGGAGAATATACAAAGTTATTCTTTTTTGAAGATAGGGCACTTTTTGCACCCACGCTAGAGGTTGTAGAATTGATAAATAAATTTGTCCCATCCCTCATTTCCGAAGATGAAATGATGTACTTGAGTTCTGATTCTTCATGCTAGACATGTTCAGATGTAGGTGTTGATGGCAATTGGGTAACAGTTGAGTTTTGAATAAAACAAATATTTGAAGATCCCAATCATGAAATAATTTTAAAAAAGGGGGTACCAATTATGTGATTGAGGACCAAACATCTGGTTTGTCTAATGGTATAAGATTAATCGTAAAAGAACTGTAACACCCCAACCCGCATAACCCGAATAAATGGATTAGCGAACCGGGTTGCTACTAAATTGGTACCCACATACAATATTTTTCAACAAATTTTAAAAACATTTAATTTAAAACTCAAACAGCTTAAATTAATTTAAATACATATCAGAGTTTATACAAACAGTGCGGAAGCCTTATAATTAAATCAAACATTAAATCTCTGCATCCGTACATCTCCTCCGTCATGATGCTCTCCGGTATGGATTCCAGAATCAATCTACCACAACCACCTACGTGTAGCAAATAGGAAAAAGGGCTACACGCTCAGCATTGAAGCTAAGTGAGAAATATCTAACAGTTCGAACATACACATAGGTGAATCCACTAATTCACAATCATCACATGATATCATGCACACAACATGCTTGTCAACAATCACACGGCACATGAGATATAACATGCATAATCAACTTCATAACAATTCATAAGATACAAACAATATTGGTATATGTATTAGGAACTTTCATTTTTAATTTACTTTACTTTCCTTATCGTACTTGGCTCTTAACCTATACTAGGTTAAAGCTTAACTCAATTCGACTTGCCTATGGAGTCATGACCTTCCCCTTCGGAACGAAGGTCAAGCTCAAACCAACTCAGGAGTTCCTCATTGGGTGGGTGAGATCCCTGTCCCCTTCGGAACGACAGTTCTTAGATCCCCGTGTACACGTTTTTACCCGAACAGCCATTGGACCCAGCAGGTACCACATGGCTCTAACTAACTGTACTTATGGCATACCTTGCCACTAATCCATTCAGGTCATTTCCTAGAGTTCTTCTAGGTGATATATCCAATATTCATTAATCAGTAGTTTCAGTACATAATACAACATTCATAAATCCACAATGCATTTAACAAGATATCCAACATAAGTCAAATAGCGGCCTAACACTGGGTGTAGACACCCATGTTTACCGTCATGCAACACACGGAGTCTCGGGATGAATCCTTGACGAAAACATAGATCGACAAACCCAGTATCAGGTACATGTCACGGTACGGGGTACCGTCCTTACGGTACCTGGGTACCGTCCTTACAGTACCGGGGGTACCGTCCGAATCAATGAACTCTTTCAGTAGGACTACTACGGTAGCCAACTACCGACCAGGCGGTAGGGCCTACCGTCCGTCCGGTACCTAGGTACCGTACGGTTGCAGCTACCGACAGAGGCAGAAGAAACCAACAGAGGGTGACGGTAGCACGATACCGTCCTGGCGGTACTGCCTACCGTATGACGCAACAATATCCATATTCATACCTGTTTCATTTTCAGCATCAACCAGCAAAAGTCTCATAACAACAAACACCAATTGTTAGTTCCATGGTGTTGGCTAATCTATTGGCAAAATAGAATCCCATATGTGATAGATGTTTTACTAGGTAGAAACCTCTATTTGTTAGGAGAGGTTTATTTTATTTAGACTTCTAGAGCTGCTGCAGTTTTCGAGGTTGACGCAGAAGATGCTACAGCACGATGCTGCAACACACAGTTCGAGATCAGAGGTCTGAGCACGGGATTTTAAGCTAGAATCTGAATTAGAGACCTATTGGGATTGTGATTACATGATAATAACTCCAGCTGTACATGCTAAGGAATCCCAACTCTTTAGGCTACCTGTGGATCAAGATTAAGGAAGTAGAGTTCAAGCCAACTTCTACTATCCTACTCCTACTAGGATTGTGTTAAGAGAGACCTATAAAAACACAGCAGGTCCCTGGGAATTACTTGGAGCGATCGAGAGGGAAAAAAAGAATATACGCTGATGTAGAGCATTCCCGTCGCGTCCAGGAGCTTCCCTTGCGTGAAGAAAAGTTGCGATCTACATGAAAAAGGAGTCCTACAATGAAAAACAGATCGTGACAACCAGGAGATGAACCAGAGCTGAACGAGTGGGCTGCCAACACGTTTGTCCTCGTGATCTCGGTGGAGATGTGATAGCCGAAGCGGATCTGAACAGAGTTCGGGTTAGAAATCCTAGATTAGAAGTTTTGTCATAGCAATTCGGAGAAGGGTGTCTCATCATGTTGTTATGTACCGGTGTAACTTGCATCTAGTGATTTAGTGGAGGGCTATTACACGGACGTGGGCCCCGCAGATTAGGAGAGTTTCTCCGAACTGCGTTAACATATCTGGTGTCATTTTTTACGCATTTTATATTTACAGCATTCTGCCCAGTAGGCGTTGTAACGCTCTCTGCATCATCTGCAGCATAGTTCGATGATTTGTTTGCATAGTTCTTAATTGGTAATTTCCGTTGTGCCCCCACGAACTTTCACCAGTAAGTTCATATTAACATTCTAAACATTATCAAACACATTAATTCATCAATCAATGCCTATGTCATGCATACTACCCTTTTGATTTGACAACAGCAATTCTTGAAACCATAACCAACAATTATACAGATAAACCACATAGATCAACCACGATAAGAATATTGAACGGAATTTCAAACCTAGATGCATATTTTAGTGTTAGATGTCCACGTACTCACCTCGATTGGGTTCAATTTGATTAGAGAGAGAACTTGACTCGAACGGAGCGTAGATGTAGTCACCCGTACCCTACTGCACAGTCCGGTACTGCTACCCAAGCAAGCTCGCCACTGCCCAAGCCTGCCCGGATCTGTCATCGTTGCGGCTCAGTCTCATCTTCCTCTGTACATGGTCAAAAATCACTGCCCGAATCTGACCTTCATGGCCCGGAGGTTGCCGAAGTTGCTGGGTCACCGTGGTTGTCCGGTCGCCGGAGAGAAGTCGTCGATCGCCGCTGCGCTTCGCCGGAGTTTTTGCCCAGCCGCTTGAATTCGCCTATCGTCTGTAGGCACCACTGGAGATTGCCGGCTGTTCTCTCGTCATTCCTCAGAGGAATTGCCGTCGCCGGCGCTGGTCGAGCAAAACCGCCGGTCGCTGCTGCTGATGGAGGAAGCTGCTAGAAATCAAGAGAGGGAGAGAGAGAATCCCTTGGTGCCGGCGCGCTGGCGCTGATCGGAGAAGAAGGAACGACGATGGGGTTCTGCGATTGGCGGCCTTGGCTCGATCGGAGAAGAAGAACGAAGAAGAAGACAGGGGGCGGCGTTGGAAATCTGTAGACGCGTGAGAATAAGCCTAGGGTTTTGTACTCCTTTATTTAAAATAACTTGTCTGAATTTTCGGGCCCAATTGCTCCAATTTGAGATCTGTTCGCGTCGTTGGATTCGATTCATCGATCCCTACCCAATGATATAACTTTTATACTGAAACGACAATTATTTATTAGTTCCACCTGTTCCGTATTAATTCTTTCGATTAATTAATAACGATCACTCTTCTAATTAAATCTTTACAAATATAATCAGATTAGTCTTGTTATATTGAGACAATTAGAATTTCTAAAATATCTTTTAATTCTTTAAAAGAGTAGATTGTCATAATAATTAATTCTTATTTATTTAATTATCGATTAACTACTAGACTGGTTTCTGAGGCGTTACAAGAACTGTGAAAGAACATTATCGCTACTATTGTGGTTTTGGGAAATCAAGTCGGAAAAATGTTTACATACCTAGATGAATTTAGTACCATCTGATCCAGAACTACCTCTGAAGTTCTAAAGAAGACAATTTTTATTAGTCTTATATTTTGCAGTGACTGTCAGCAAAAGTTAAGGTCAAACATTATCATTTATTGGATTAACCAAGTCGGTGTTGGCTCATGGTTAACTTTATATTGTTGTTTTACGAGTGAAGACAAAGACATTTTTAAAAATACTGGTTTTAGATGACAATGGAATTAAAATCCTTGCAACCATACCAAAAAAATTGCATATCCTGAAATCTTTTAGAAAATTTGGTATTAAAACAAGCTTGGTTGAGTACACCTTTAATTCATTAAATACGGAGTATTATTTTTTCTACTTTGGCTCTTTTTTGATAGTATTTCTTTATTCCAAAAAAATATAGCATTGAAAAAGTTTCAGAATTGAAAAAAAAATTCATTCGATTCTGTGTGTCGCACAAGTAAAAATACTAGTAAATTTGAAAGAGATGATATTTTTCATGTTCTTCAAAATTTCAAAATGTAACAAAAAGTTTGGGAGGAAGGAAGTAAAACTGAAAAATTTATTAAGGACGTTTTTGACAAAAAAAAATTGTTACGTCATTCAGAGGGGAATGTGGTCCTCACGCTCGGCAGTCGGCGCCGAGAACAAAGCAGCATCAATGAAAATGAAACCATTATCCTCCACATGGCAGAAACCCAGATTTGTTGGCAGTACTGTAATTTCAGAGAAAGTAGAGGGCAATCCAGTCAAGTCTTGCAAATAAAAATCCCTTGACTTTACTTTTCTTTTCATAACCATCCCTTGGCTTACTTGGCCATACACACGAGAAAAGGTAAATACAGTATTAGTTATGTCCCTAATTTGATTACAAATTGGAAGTTACGAGTAAAAATTTCTCATCTTTTGAATGTAATTTTATTTGCAAATTAGTATATTAATAAAAATAAAAATTATATATTAAAAAATTACTTCAAAAGTTGTACCAAACAAAAAGTGACAAGAGTATTTCATTTTATCAAATAATCAATAAAAATACACAAATAAACAAAAGTTATGAGAGTAGAGAGATGAAAAGATTATAATCTATTTCAGAATGGAGGAAGTATTATATACTACTCCATCCGTCTCAAAATGTAAGCAGAAGTTGCTATTTCGGCCTATCGATAAATTTTTTTGTTTATTCTTTTTGGTTGACTATTTGATAAAATAAAAGATTATTCTCGCATTTTATTTGTAGAACTTTTGATCTATTTTTAAACGATGTAATTTTCACTTTTTATTTTTTAGCAATTTGTAAATAAAATAATTTTAAAAGAAATGATATTTTGCACGTCGTTCGAAATCTTATACGGAGTATAAACTAAGATAATTCGGTTTATCTCCTTTGACACCTCTTGCTCAACCAATTGTGCTACACTCACTAATTTCTTTTCTTATGTCACTATGGTCTATGTCATCTCTTTTTTGACCGTCTTTAAATTTCTCCTTTGCAAGGAATTAGGATCTTCTTGGGTCTGCATCTTCTGATCCTAGTAATTGAGCATGGGTCTGTCTCACTCTATATGTTGTTGGACCAGTCTTTTCTCTCTCATCAGTTTTTTTTTTTCCTTTTTACTTCGAATTAACAATACGATTCTTATTTACCCTTCGTTGGATATCTCTTTACTAAAAGAACCAAACTCGATTTTGTAGAATACTAGAAGTCTAGTCTAGGAAAAGAGAGTTTCCCAGTTACGTAGAAGGAAGGGTAGTCCTCGTCCTGGTTGGTTTTGTGTAGGTTTCTGTTTTAGCAGCACAAAATTGCCCTTTTTGTTACTACTACACACTACACCTTCTGCAGACCATGTGGTTTCAATGACTCTTTAAATTTATAATTACTCACACAATACTACCCTCAACTCCTCAAGTTTGAACGCAATTCCAATTTTTCTTGTCAGATCAATATTTAAAACTTTCTTCGTCCCCAATTTGATAACAAATTGAGGTTTACGAAAAGAAATATTTTACTTTTGAAATAATTTTATTTAAAAATCGGTATATCGATAAGAAATAAAAATTACATGCATATTAAAAAACTATGTCAAAAGTTCTACAAAATAAGAGGTGACAAAAATATTTTATTTTATCAAATACTTAATGAAATTGCGTAAACATACAAAAGTTATCGAGAAAAGAGAAAAAAATATTGTAATCAAATTGGGGACGGAGGGAGTATATAATTAATTAGAAATTGTTTAATACATTAATTAAATAAAATGATTGGGAGTATTTTTATTTATATCTAATACCAATTTTATTTAGCAAATCATCAAAGTTTATCAATATTATTTACAAAAATCAAAACTAAACAAACATCATGAAACGATGTGAGGACCTTCCTTCAGGCTAAATATATAGATACTTGAAGTTCAGGAAGGTTGCGGGTTCGTTTTTCTCTTGACATCAGAAGATGAAGCTAAAGAGAAATGTAACGATGAGCATTCGTGGTTAGTTTTCCAAGAACGAACCTCTAGCGATCGCAAAGATCAACATAGAGTTTGCGGAGAGGAACTCAGAATCCCGCCATTACAAATTCATAGTGCACAATGAGGTATTAATAGTGCACAATGTGGGTGAACGAAGGGACTAATAAGCAGAGTAGTTGAGTATAGTCTGGAGATACGATGATGGGAAAAAACGGCGGAGATGATGACGTTATATCATAGTATGTGTAAAATAACAAAGAAAGTTTTATTGATTAAATTTATAAGAAAGAAATACAAAGTATGTATTTATAGGTGGAGGAATATATTCTAGGTAGAATCCTCCACATTAATGACTAATTATATAAGGTAATATTATATAATAATAACTCTAACTATAATAGGTAACAATCATAATTATAATATATAATACATATATTTAACATGCTACCAACATCTTGGGAGGTGAAGATTGAACGCCAACTTTTACTTGAATCGTGACCAGAATTTTAATCAGAAGCTAGAGGCATATCTTCGGCTTGAGTAGACTGAATGCATCCGGCCTAGAAGAGAAGAAGAAAGATTGCCATGAAAGAGATCTGATGGCGCTAATGAGGAGAGGAGAAAAGTCGCTGCGAACAGACTCATGCTGCTGACATCAAAAGAGGGAGAAGGTTGACGTGCGCTAGCTAGAGTCTTGCACGACTAATTTAGAGGATAAAAAAAGATTGAATTGTTGCTAGGGGTGCTTGTTAACTGAAGATATGCCTACTGAGCAAGTAGATGTGACAATCTCATCTTAAATCAAGAAGCGGCGGTGATGGATCTAGAAACAGACGGTTGTGGTTGGTTGGGAATATATTTTTTTGCTAGATGGAATTATGAAAGAATTAGGATCAAAGAAAGAACAAGCTAAGTAAAAGTGGGGGCTCCGTCACCGGACAAACCACCGGGGACGGCGGCGACGGAAGCAAAAACTATTAGGTCACCAAGAGCAAAGGTTCTGATACCATGTAAAATAACAAAGAACATTTTATTGATTGAATTTATAAGAGAGAAATATAAAGTATGTATTTATAGGTGGAGAAATATATTCTAGAATTCTCCTCATTAATGACTAATTATATAAGGTAATATTATATAATAATAACTCTAACTATAATAGGTAACAACTATAATTATAATATATAATACATATATTTTACAGTATGTATAAATAACCCC